GGACTTAAATAAACTTTTTTATTTAAAATATATATGTTGTAATTATTTTTTAAAATAAGATAAAATAAAAATAAATGTATATTTTTTTGACAATAAAATAAATATATTAAATGGCATATTAAAAAGGCTAAATAGATAAATAGAGTTAAATACCCCTAATTAAAACTTAGCTCTATTAAAATCAACGGAGTATAAGATATGATAAAAGTACATCCAAGTTTCTGGATTTCTCCACTCAAGGTGATCATATGAGTTCATTACCTTCACTCTGTCCCTATATGCTTTGTCGTTCCTTTTTTTCCTGGCACGCGGGTCTGCCGTAGTAACTCGATTAGTATTTCTTCTTGAATAAGAATCTGCAGGGGAAATAGGTGTAGCTGTACGTTGACGTTGACATTGACCCGAATGTTGTTGCCTTATCTTCCCTGCATCGGTTGCCATCTGATTGTTGACCGGACCATTTTGTTCGGTGGAATCTGCCGAGGATATGTCCGCAGGTTGCCGTTCTTGCCTCATCGTCTCTGTTTGAACTGCAATCCGATTGGTCCACAGGAGATTTTGCGCACCAATACTCAGCTCCTCATTTTGTAAATATCGGCCAATATTTGTTGCTATGCATTAAGGATATGTAGAATTAATAGTATTACTGAGGCATTGTATTGAAGAAAACTGTTAATTAATACAAGAGAAAAGACAGAGGTCAAAATGATTAACGACAAATTAAAAGCTTACAGCTTCCATTAATGCACTGCCTGTTTTCCTCATCTTCACCGCCTTCAGAGAAATTAATGTTTGTTGAGTTCTCCATTAATGAAAGTTTCCTCTGTGGACTATTAGTTATGATGAAAATGTAACATGGGCATCAAGCTAAGGGCCCTATATGATGGAGATAAGTGAAGAAGATGTGGTTGTCCTGATTGCCGCACTTACAAATTTGTAGACCAATAAGGCTACTTATAAAGTGGTATAAATATATATATATATATATATATAAATTAGTATTTATTAGTTTTGATTTTAAAAAAAATTAAAATCTTAATTTATATTTAAAATTTTTAATTTTAATTTAAAATTTAAAAATTTACTATATTAATGTTAAAATTTAAATTTAAAAATCAATTATATATTTTAATATAATCGTTTTTTAAATTTAAATATTAATATATAACAAGATAAATTTTTAAATTTTAAATTAAGTTTTAATTAAATAAAATGACATAATTTAAATTTAAATTTTCAATTTATTTTAAGGATCCATTTGGTATAGTGATTTGGAGTTAGCGATTAATAGTTAACGGTTATCGGTTTCGATAAAACCATTAAAAATAGGTATTTTGTAAATTTTTTTATTTTGAAGTCGCTATAAATTAAGTGTTGGTAAAATTTTTCATTTAATGATTTGGAACTAACAGATAATAGTTAGGGTTTAATCCTTAGCAAATTGAAAATCTTACTTGAGGTAACTCTTAGACTAAACTGGTAGCATATTAAAATTTTTTAATTTTATTAATAAATTTATCTTTTTTAATTTTTTTAATTTTTACCATGATTTTAAATTAGTATTAATCTAATTAATTTCAACTTTATTTCTTATCTTTAATAATATTAAGTAATTATTATATTTTTATTTTTACATTAATTTATCATAAAAAAATTTTACTTTATTTAAAATTAATATAATTTTTTTAGTAAAATAAAAATTAGTATATGATTACATTATTATAATTTATTTATCATTATTTTTATAAAATTAATAATTTTAATAATAAACAATATAAAAATATACTTAATTTTTTTAAATATATCCTTATCAGTCATTTAATTTTAAATAATAATCACTAACTATTGTATAGTTAAATAATTATATTAATCGAATCCACTGTTTATTATGTGCTACTCACTTTTCGTTATTTGTCATCCGTTATCCCTTAATTACCACCCGTTACTTACTAACCACCACCCGCTACTCACTAACCGTTACCTGTTATCTGCTACTATTATTTGTTATCTATTATCTATTGAATTTATTTATTATACCAAATATATCCTAAAAATCAAAATTAATATATATTTTTCTTTTATATATATATTTTTACGGTTCGAATTGTAAAACATCGAATTAAAGTGCTATACTTATTTGAAAACTTTCTGTAAAGCAACTAATCGTTACCTGTTACTTGCTATCATTATCTGTTATCCATTATTTATTGAATTTAATTATTATACTAAATATATCTTAAGAATTAAAATTGATATATATTTTTCTTTTATATATATATTTTCACGGTTCAAATTGTAAAACATCAAATTCAAGTGCTATACTTATTTGAAAATTACACTTTCTGTCAACAAGTATTCTTTCAATTATACCGAGTCACGATGAAATTAAATGTGAAACGGGCACCAACCTAAGGGCTCCATAATCCATCTGATGGAAATAAGTAAAGGAGACGTGGTTGTCCTCATTGCCACATACAGATATATAAACGGATAATGCTATCCATAAAGCGCTATAAAAAAAAAAAAAAAATTGCGGTTTGGATTGAATCAAGTGCTATACCTTTTGAAAATTACCCTTTTTTTGTTAACAAATGTTGTTTCCTCACCTTTACCAAGTTCACTTCAGTAGTCTAACCTAAACCTTTCCCTTTCCAATTTCTCCCCAATCTCCCTAAACATATTTGGTCTTAATTAATTATAATTACATGAAAATTTATGTAGCTGTATGTTTCAAACTGGGGAAACTTTTGGCTTAATTCGAAAAATCATCTACTAACTTTCAGTTTAATTTCATTTTAATCTAGAAAGTTTGTTTCGTTTCTAAATGATCTAGAAACTTTGAAGAATATTTCAAATTAGTCTACCATACAAAGATGACCTTAGGTAGCCGTTAGATTTGAGAAAAAAGCAGTCCTTTGAGTTTTAAAAAAGTAACACTTAAATCCTAATAAAATATGATGAATCAAAAAATAGTTTATAGAAATAGATTATAATTCAAATAGAGAAATTCAATAAGTTTAGAATAAGAAATTTCACAGGTAAGTCTGTTTTATAGGACAGACTGTACAATCTGTCTCATAAAATTATTTAAATGTTCATAAAAAAATAATATAAAAATAGAATTAAGGGTATTTAAATAATTTTACAGGGTGGACTGAATGCAGTCTGCTCTGTAAAATAATTTTCTGAAAAACACATTTAGCAAAATAAGAATAAAAACTATTTTTACTATGAATATAAATTTAAGGACTAAAAGATTAAAAGAAATATAGTTAGAGTACTAAATTTAAGAAGATTTCCGTTAAGATTTCCGTTAAGATTTCTGTTAACTTTAACTGACTAGATGAAATTGAAATAAATGTGAAAGATAATAGACAGAATTGAAATAATTCAAAGATAATAGATGAAACTGAAATTAAACTGAAAGTTAATAGATGATTTTTTGAATTTAACCGGAAACTTTTAGTCATTTGCATCTTCTTCGCCTCGGCTGCTCTCATCTTTAAGTTGGTAGACCAGTGGTTCTTAATTTCATTTATCTGTCGTTCCAGGTAATCTTGATGCAATAACGGCCACCCTACAAGAAGGAAACAAATAAGCTAGCCAGTACTTTTGTTTTGTGAAAATTTATGGTGAAAATATATAATTCAAATTGTATATTTTTACCTACCTGTTTCCTAATATTTCTTGTAATTTCAAGATCAATGCATCTTTTTCTTCACTATGGTTTGCATATTTTAATTATATGGTTCATCCATCGTATCCTGCAGCATTTCTCACATCTTGATAGGCCTGTAATTTATAAATCGTTAAAAAATTAGAATCTAAAGACAATTAAGGAGGAAATTTTTTTTTTCTCAATCTATGTTAAAATCAAATGCACAAGGTCCATAATTAAAGAAAAAGGGAAATACAAAGAAACTCAAGGAAAAAATTATTGAAATTGAAACCCGATTGAAGATTTCTCTAAAACCTTACGCTGCCCAAAGTTTTCGGGTTTTATAAACTTTTATAGAAGACAAGGCAATAGATTCATCGTACCTGCAAATTTTGGCAGTTCTCTCCAGCTCCCAGGGCCAGAGCTCGAGATATAGGATATTAGTTTTACATCTTCCTCCATGCTCCATGGACATTTCTTCAGTTCATTACAAGAACAAAGATCTCCCTCGCAATCTTTAATTTCAACACGACCTCTAGCTTTTCCCTCTACAAGGTCAAGCATCCAAGTACACGTTAACACTATGTAAAATGAACTTCAATTTATACTTGTACTCTGAATGAAATAAATATCAATTTTTTGCTGTTAACAAAAAAAAAAAAAAAAAAAAAGGCAAAACTACTCCCAAACGACAACCATGGATCTACGTAGCATTATATTTTGCAAGGAGGCGTACCTGATGATATCATTATGCCATCATTAATTTTGATAATCCCTTGCAAAGGGAACAAGATCGATAAAAAAATATATGTATAGGAATGTGTCGCATGCAATAGAGGGATCAATATATAGAGGGAAGGCTCTAGGGAAAAGTGGGTGATTATGTATGATCATAACTTCATCCTCTCCCCATGAAACTTTTTAATGAATATATCTTACTCTCTCCATTCTTATTTAATTGTCCATATAACTTCTTATGACTCAAATCCATAATTTTTTACTCTATATAAAAATGAAATTACTCTATGTAATTTAGGTAGCATCATGACCCCTAATATTTAAGCTCGATCGTCTGATTACCTACCTCCAAAAGTGCGCAATGACTGGGTTGAGAGCGACCCTATTGCTGGACTGGTTGCATCACTGGGGAAGGCCGAGGATGGGGGAAGCATCGTTGCTTGACTGCTCTGCATAGAACCTTCTGTATCCCCATTGGGACAATATTGCTCAAAATCGATCAAGCTGGTACCGCTTCTAGCTATGCTCTGGCTATTGCCACAAGTTCTCGTTGAGGCCTGCTTGTTTTAACATTTAATTAAGAAGAATGCATGACATACAGGTAGAATAGATTAAGAGATAAATAATATTATTTTTTATTATGTAATTCAAGATAAAAAGAAAAAAAAAATTCACAAGTTAATTAAGGGGCAGAGACTTACAAATTCTTTTTCTAAATTTTCCAATTTGCTTCTAAGTTCGCCCAGTTCTTTTGATTGAGTTTCAGACAGTCGATTCACCAATACATTATCTACTTGTAGGGATTCAATAATCTGATCCTTTAATCTCCCTTTTTCAGTCTCCAGTTTCTTTAAATCGGACTTTAGTTGTCGTTTCCTTTCCTGAACGTACCACAACATTATTCAAGACCTTAAGACCAAGAAACCTTATGATATCATTTCAAAATGGGTTAAAGCCTTCCTTAACAATATCAAAAATTGAAATAAGAAACAAAAAAGTGAAGATAATATTTAATTGGGAAGCTAGATTCACTTTTGCAAAATAAAGAACTTTAACCAATTAAATTTTCCATAAGAGTATTACTTTTTTTAATAAAAAATAGATTTTGTGTTAAAATAATAATAACGAGATTATATATAAATATTTATATCACAACTTATAACTAAAGCAAAAGCATATCTTACAACATTAGATGCAAACAAAAATTATGTTTATTATGGATATAAAAAAATAAGTATAAAAGGTTATTTGTACGTAGAGATTACAATACTAATATCACCATGTATAGGAGCATAAATAGATCTACTAAGAAAAAAAGTCATTATAAGTATCCTAAGCTTCTAGCCCTTCTCAACTATTACGCTAACTTTTTAGGGAGAGCAAGTAGTTTGTAAACAATAATCCTCACCCCACTACTAGAAAGTTGACCATTTTGATCAGAATATTTCGGTCAAGTAAATTTTTTATCCAAAAAAATACTAATTCGGACAAAAAAATTGACCGACTTTCAAATGTCTTAAAAAATTGAAAAAAATCACACAATTCGGAATGATCTTTCTTCAATCAAGCCACTTGACCGAATTAATTTCCCGCCAATTGCAATCAAAAAAGTTTGGTCAAGACACTTGACCGAATATTACATCAATATTTTTCAGTCAAGTAAACTGACCAAATAACAATGGGTAAAAAATCTCCCCTTATTTCAACATTAAACATTAATAAATTACATAAAATATTATTAATTTGGTCAATAAATATGAGTAAAATATAATTTTGAACCAATTTGGCACTGATGGGACAATTATGTTGAATTTGAATGAATCGGCAAAATTTAGATTCCTATGCTTGTTTCGATCAGTGTGGCTGAC